GTGGGTAGAGTCACCCGATGTGAGCTCTCGACCTGTGCCAGAGGCCGTGATGCCCTGAGAAACATCACCAGGGGGTCACCCGGCCAGACTCTGGGGCAAGGAAGGGGTGACGCTGCCAGGAGGGTGAGCTGGGGTCCCAGGCCCTGAGACCAGGCAGCGGCACTGCTTAAAAGTGGGACCACAACCCTCCATGCATTGACTCTCCCTGTGGCTCAGCATCCAGACACCTCCAAGCTACGGGGCAGCACCAGCTCCTGCCCCACGGGGGTCCCTGCGGGGTCGGGGCTGCTCTTACCTCCAGCTCCCTGGGGCTGTGTTCGGCCTCACTCCCACTTGCAGGACCAGAGGGGTGATTTGGGACTAAAATCCCCTTTTTCCTTCCTGTAGATCACAGTGCAGACCAGCTCCCAGCCTCACTGAGCCAAACTGGATTTCAGGCGGTGATCTGTCAGGTGAGATGCTGCGTCCCTCTGCTCCATCCCCAGGCTGTTCAGGCCACACGGGCCCACTGAAACTGGCTAAGCTGCCATAGAAAAGGTTTTGTGTTTAATGGGATATTTGCCAGCAAATTCAAGCCACGAACACTATATATTTCTTTATTTGTAAAGGTGTTTGAAGTCCTTGAATTCACCCTTTGGCCACCTTAAATCTAGTTTCTAATCCCCAGCGCAGTTAATCAAATCCTCAGTGGTTTGAATTATGAGATACCTGGGGGGGATTTATAGCTTGTATTGCTGATTATACCTTGACTTTATTATATTGCAAATATCTAACTTATGGTCACGGCTGAGATTTACAATCCTCAGGTAGGTGCTTAGGATAACTTTTAGCAACTCCAGATGTAATTGGAGGTGACTGATGGGGCTGTCGGCACAGATAAACATGTAATCTGTAAAATGTTAAGACAGGGAAAGAAGCAGCAGAATAGGTGAAAAGGGTGAGTCAGCCTTAAAAGAATTAATAATGGAATTAGGTGTATTGCTGAGCAAGGCCCTGGGAAACCTGGTCTGGCTGAGGCATCCCTGCCCAGGAAAGAGTTTCAGGTTTGTTGGTCTCCAGAAAACACCAGGATTTAGATCTTTGTTCCTTCTTGCTCTCAGCTGAAGGTGTTTAGGGTTTGAAATAGCCCTGGAGAGGTGGAAAGGGCAATAAACAGAAATTGGGGTACTCACAGAGCTGGCTTCTGCCCCCCAGCTTGGGGGGGGATTTGTGCCTGTGGCTCTTTTGGTCCTGACCGGTGGTTTCTCCCCTCGGAGGAGCAGCAAGTCCCCTGTGGCCACCTGCCCCTGGGCCAGCATGACGAGCGAGGTGGTGGAGAACGAGTTTGAGTTTTACTCCAAGGCAGAGAAGTACTGGAAGGATGTGCCCGCCACGGTGGACGGCATGCTGGGGGGCTACGGCCACATCTCCAGCATCGACATCAACAGCTCCAGGAAGTTCCTGCAGAGGTTTCTGCGGGTAGGTGGCACGGTGTGTCAGGCTCCCAAAGCCCTGCCCTTCCCCCAGCACGGAGCTGCTCCGGGGGATCCCTTGTCGCCTGCGTGCTGGGAGAGCTTTGCCCCGCAGCGGGTCCCCCATACCTCAGTCCTACCCCGTGTGGTTCCCCCGTGGTGGGCTCCAGCCCCTCGTGGTTGTCGTTGCAGGATGGTCCCAACCGGACGGGGACCACCCGTGCTCTGGACTGCGGGGCGGGCAT